TCTTCCCCTCAAACTGCCTCTGCAGATTCGGGGCCATGCTTCCCAACATGAGACAGGAGATCTCATTGTCGTCAGTCTGATGCATCTGCCAAGCATCCTTGACGGCTCTCGTGGCGTTGGCCGCAGGCTCTGGTGGTAGAGCTCCTTCCAGGACGTTAGACTGGTATCGTAACTTGAGAATAAGAAGTTCATCCCAGTCAATTTATCCTTCTCAAGGATAGATTGCATCGTCAAACTCGGTACGCTACCGGTTGACGCCATGTCCTACAAAAGAGACAAAACAGAACGAACAAAACAAATGCAGATTCTATTAATGATCTACTACCAGCTAGTCCATCATCAATCAGCTATATTCCCATAAAGAAAACTAACCCTACAATAATTTTCTATATGGGACTAAGATCCGTATTTCACATAAGAACAAGTTTCACACTCAGCCTTATGCTATTTAAATAGACATCTAATGTCAATCACATCCAATGTGATTCTTAGATGCTTTATGAGACTTATGATATCAAATATCATTACATACTCGTCTCATCTGTACCATTAAGTTTCAAGTCAAAACTTGACAACTTAATCCAAGATAAACCATATTCAAGCTGTAGGAACCACGATTTCCTACCCTGCCTCACAAAGATAATCCGGCACGCTCAGTTTTGGCATGACCCGTGTTACGGACGATCGATGCCTTGACAGGCGCTCTAGTAATGGGAGGTACACACTTAGCATTACATAAACAATGGATTTTCGAAACCACACTTAGATCAAGCATCTACTTTCAAGCTATGAGAACCACCATTTCTCCATCTTGCCTAACCAAGATAATACGGCACACCCAGCTTTGGCATGGCCCATGACACGTACGATCGAGGCCTTGACAAGTGCTTTACTTATAGAGCTTCTAGATCTATCCGGTTTCTGTGCAACGATTGTTCATAATCCGAATAGACCATACTGGTTCCTCCATTGAACGGGTATCTCCCTCCATACTGGTTCCTCCATTGAGAGGTCAAGAAGAAATCTATCACTAAGAAGAGCTCTTGAATCAGCACAACCACTGGATACTATCAACTTAGTGCCATCGAGGGTGCATGAGCTATGCCATGATCGGGGGGAGAGGAAGGGTCGAGCCAGAAACTTCTCCCCAAGTCGGTGGGTCTGCATCAAGATCTAGCAAGAAGACATCGTTAAGTAGTCCTTGGCTCCCATAACCTTCGAAAACCACCGAGCGAGACCCATTTACACATGAGAGAGTGTGGCCCCATCAGCGGGGAGGAGGGGAGCTGACCTGAACAGGTTACCACTCGGGGTTACTTGAACTCAGGTCCAACACGAGTGTATCATTCATTGTCTGCATATTCACACCTTCACCACCAAAGATAACAATCATGTTCCCGACTGCACAGACACTGAAATTACAACGAGACGACTCAACGACCCCTCCCACCGTCAATTTCCTCCAGGCCACCGCTTCAAGGGTTGTCAGCTCTCGGGCCAACTGACCCAAACCTATCGTCCTTGCACTGGGAATAGTCTCCATAAATCATCGTACTTTGTTAGCTCTTGGAGCCGAGGGCATACCAAACCATCCGATGCAATATCACGAGGAGTCAACCGTGATAATATCTTGAGAACTAACTGTTGGGATTCCTGGGATCTCTAGAGCGAATCCTATTCCTAAGAGATCGATTCTAGGGTTTGCGCAGCGGATATAAAACAAAAATTTAATAAACCCTAGAACCATGCTTCTAATGAATCGTAGAAACGTTAGAACGCTTACCTCAATCGATCCGGGGTCTGTATCAATTGAAGAATTCGTCTGATCAATTAGGCAGGAAGATTACCTCGCCCTCTACACGTATCCACACCTCGGGATGGATTCCAACGATTGGAACTTGTCTGCTAGGACTCGAATCTCTATTCGGTTTTTGCACTTCGAGAAAACGAGACTTAGAACTTGTTGAGCTTTTTGGATCTCACCAAAAACTCTCCAAGATCCGTATTTCACACAAGAATAAATTGTTACACTTATCCTTATGCTATTTAGGTAGACATCTAATGTCAATCACATCCAATGTGATTCTTAGATCTTTTATGAGACTATGATATCGAATATCATTGCATACCCGT